AAATATATATATATATATATATATATATATATAAAGTCCATAACACCGAGATAGACTGATATATCTAACATAAGCAGAATCTATATCGATATGACTATTTGAAATCCTATACTAATATGAGCTGCTAGGAGAAACCTTTAGCTAATAACTCCAAATGTCTAAAACTGAAAGTAACAACTGAAAAGAAAGATAGAAGTACTTTGTCCTCGAAGTGATGATGAGAACTTTCCAACACTGTTGCTCGATGATCAGAGGTAATAATAACCATGAACTGGATACTAAAAACCAGAGACCTATATCATCAAATGAAAGTATGTTATCAATACTTTTTGTAACCTTACGAGGGTGGATTAAGGAAATGAGAATATTACCTTTGGTGATCAAGATTATCATCATGTATGTCCATTGTTGCCTCCAGTAGAATTAACATCATCATCAAAAAGGAAATTCAAATTGTCATTCCGCTTAATCACATCGGTGACATCTTTCTTCTTCAAAATACGTCGATGATTTTCTTGAGCGTTAAGCCAGGAACGAAGGGTGAGTTCTTGAATGAAAAAATCACATGCCTTAGCAAGCAAAACAGGCGATTCAGAAGTGATCCTTCGGACATCCTTGTTCGTCTTCATGATGTTCTTGATACGGTTAGGTGAAACTAGCAGATTGTTCTTGAAATTGTCAATTTTCTCCATTTCTCTCTCCTGGTCTGTCCAAAACATCTCCATATATTCTTGCTCAATCTTTTCAATGTTAAGATGAGACATCGTTGAGTACGCATCAACGGATTGAGTTGCATTCACTGTGGATTTCTCAGAGTTGTTTTCCATGGTGATTTTTTCGTTGTTTACAAGCTCAAACATGGAGAGAAATGAAAGATTGATACATACACACAACTGGGTTTTCTCTATATAAAAAAGAGAAAAATAAATCTAATTATAAATTTTTAAATCATATTAAATGAATGAACCTAGACATTTTTAAATCTACCTTCAAGCTAAGACTATTAATGAAAAATTGTTACAATTTAATATGTCATAATAAAATTGTAAGAAAATCATTTTATTAAATACTTGTTAGTTCTAGTCAATAAGGTATTAAATATTAGTTAGTTCTAGTCAATAAGGTATTAAATAATGAGCGGAGATATTAATAAAATAATTTTTAAATTTTTTTTTCTAGAATCCTCCATATACCACAAAAAATCAATAATTAATAGAAAGAAATAGAAAATTTATTATATATGGGCTTTCATATATGTGTACAATGTGTCAAGTTTAATGTCTGGTAGACTATAAATCACTTTTATAAAACAAGATTAATTTTATAGAATAGTTGGTGGATTCTAAAACTACTATGAACTAAGATTTTTTTTATAAACTCAATATTTTATTATATCACATGATTATACTTGAAAAATCATTATTGTCATCACAATATTTGTACCAACATGTCATATGCGTATCCTAAGATTCATGAGTGTTTTAAAATCTATAGGTTTAATCATCAAATGTATTATGCAGAGCAATACACAACCTATAAAATATATGAATTGGATTAAACGTTTAACTAAGAGCAACTTTCGCATATAGCATACATAAATTTTATATTTGTATGTCATAACTATAGTTTGTCCAATTGCGTTTCATAACAAATTTTATGTTTGCTATGGAACTTTTGATTGTATAATCTCGCTACAAACATCTAATTTTAGACAAATTGCTCATTTTTGTATAAATTCATTTATACATTGTAATTTGTGTAATAAGACCTGTATTTGTATAATTACAAGTGTACAGGACAAAAATATATGTATTTGTATTTGTATAAACACTTTTCTCTAGCTTTATACAAACATAAATGCATTTTATACATTTTATACTGAAATGTATAAAATGAATAATTGTATATATCGAAAATGACAAATTATATACCGAATCAGATGGCAAAAAAGGGAATGTTTGCTGCAAATTAAAATAAGAGTAAACTATGAATATGGCATTTAATTTGAATTAATAATTTGTTATTTCATACAATGTTTCCTTTAACTAATTAGCCTCACTAATTTGTGGTATAACACTATATTCAGACATCATAGGAGGGTGTATATATATATATACACACACACATAAACCTAGTTCATTTGATCTCTAATCAGATAAATTGAGTTATGTACTATCATTGTTAATCTTTTCAAATTGATAAAAATCTCACACTCCTCGACGTTTCTTTTTATCTTTGAATTGATCTATAAAGTGCCTCTTTGAAATTTTTTTATTTAGGTTCAACACTTTAAACACACTAATGTATATAGAAAATATTTGTTATTTTATCAATAATGACGACAAGTGAATAAAATAACTTCATATTTCTTGTTTTCTTTGCGAAAACAATTAGGTTTACAAGTCAAATTTGGCATTACTATTACTTTGTTTTACTTAACAAAAGAGAACACAAAGTTTAACGGATTTGCCTTCTCAATTAAAAAAAATGGACCTTCTCAATTTCTCATGTACCTCATTTTGTCTACCAAGTTATTTTGCAACCAAATAAAGTCTGTTTGGTTAAGCATATATACGCATCAAACTTATTTTATTGCGATGTTGATAAATGGTAACCTATACACTTTTCTCTAATACAACAAAGTAATTGTTAAATTCACTCATACCTTCATTATATATGTTGTCATAGTATTTATCACCATCGACTGGTCAGAGTTATTTTTCATGAAATGTGATCAAAGGCAAATTGTTTCTAAATTAACATAGACATAATTGAAAGTAAGGTAAATGTTAGTGCTTATATATACAAAGGAGAAAGAAAACTAATTACAAATTGACTAAGCCTAATGATAAATGTTGATGTTTGAGGTACAATACAATTACGTAATTTATAAATAAGGAAATTGGGGTCATATACTTATTTTAATTAAATGAAAATCTTATTTATAGCGACGAGTGTCATAGATAAAATATGAGAAAAGCACACCTCATAATAAATTAGACACAATATTATAAAAACTTAAAATACTTTTTAAATCTTTATCAAATATAATTTTATATTACAAAATATAGAAGATTGAAATAAATTACAAATGGAGACTTTTTTTTTAGATTTTAGACATTATTTACGGGCTAATTTTTTTTTTTTTTGTTGTGTGTGTGTGTGTTAGCTAGCACACATTTTTCATTTTCTAAAGGAAAACTACTTGTTTGTCCATACACAGTTTTGCATCTCTCTCTTTCTCTTACACTTTCAGTAGAAAAATCATTATTATTCTCTCTAAAAAGAAATATAATTATTACAAATTTGTTCCTACAATTCTCGTGATGTTACATTAGTATCAGTATTTTTATTCAAATACTTGATTGATCAATTCTTCATCAAAGTTTTATCTTTCATAAATTTTATTCTTTGTTAGTGACGATGTTCTTCTCTTATCATGTATAATATATATTTTCGATCGATATTAGTCTATAGACTTCAAAAAATTTCCTTCTTATTTCTCTAGACATGTCTTGAAAAGAT